GACAAATTTGACAATTCCTGGCCAATCTAACTGTTTTAACAAATCAACTTCACGTCGTGCATCCATACGATCCTTTGCACTTTTAAGTTTTGAAAGGTCAATTTCTTTTATGACAAATAATTGTGATGTATCTATCTTAGAACGCACTAGGACACATCTACCAAAAGTTCCACGACCTATGGTACGTAGAGGAGTGTACGAAGAATTTAATTGCATATTAGAACGCCGAAAAATTTTTGTCTTCTAAGAAGGTTGGTAACACAATATGAGGACAAATTTTGTTTTTTTTTTTTTGCAGACGAACGACAACGAAAAAGAGATGGATTCTTCTATTAATAAACAACGAATGGAATATGTAACATATTTACAGAATTATTATTAATAATATTAATTAAAATTAATATTAAGTAAAAACATTAAACATTAATAAAAACAAAAATTAAATTAAAATTAAATCAATTCATTTTGATTAAAGCACTGATAGGAACAATGAGAATATCATTATTGGTAAGAAAGTTTTCAATTTTAGTAATACTATATTTAGTGTAAAATTTTCAATAAAAATTAATTGTTTCAAACATCATCGAATTACGATTCTTTTCATAGTTAATCACAATTATTAATAAATAAGTTTTTTTTCGAAATTTTTGATATTTTGGCGAGGAGATTATTATTATATATAAAGAAGATCGGGAATTATATACGCGAACGTCAAAAGTCATCACGTAACTGGATACAATTACTGTAAAATTTTAGAAAATCATTTAACAACTTTAAATCAGTAATAATAAGAGATATCATAATAATAAGAAAATCTTTATTAGGAAAAGCAGAATGCCAAGCTTACAGAGAGACCAACAAATAATGAAATTGATAATTAGGAATAATTAGGTGATTTACTGCTTGCAGATCGAAAAAACAATGGTAAAAAAGAAGACTACGTATCATGATTATTATTATGATTATTATCAAGATTAATATCACGATGATTATTATCATGATATCTAACGCTAAATAATAATCATGATGATTGTTGATTACTACACTACGTAAACTATAACACATAACTTACATCTTAAAGAGAGGAAAAAAAAAAAAAAAACAGTCAATATTAATGCATGCAATTAAGTATGAAGAAAAAAACAATAATTTATTCCTTAAGCGCATGTTATGTCAATCGCCTATTTTTGAAAAAAGAAAACCCCGACAAGGAAATTGCAGGAATAATGAAGCATAAATACAAAACCCTTGGTACATTGCAATTTGATCAAATAAGAAATTTATCATATGTTTCAATGAAGCTTGATTTGAATAATGCGTGTAATGTAATGTGGTGTTTGATCAAAGACGAAAAAAATGCAAGGAGTAAATTTTGTATACGAACAAATAAATGTTGTGATATGAGACAACTGACTTTTTCGAATTTTGTTTATTTCTTACTGTGATGAAAATGACTTTTTGTTTGTTACGTTTTTTAAAGTTGAAAGAATGTTTATCACGTGACGCGCACCATAATTTATTTGTACTGTGATAGAGCATGAACCAACGACAATAAAGACTCGAAAAAAATTCCTATTTAAGACTTCGCTTATTATTATTATGATTATTATTATTATTTTGCGGAGGGTTCCTTTGGAAATTTGGCGTTTCAAACAATGGCCTCCTACATCATAACCTTTAAAATCCATCGACTATATTTAATGCATGCCCCAGATTGAAAAATTACATTAGGAAATGACTGACCTTACATCTTTTTTATTAACCAAGAATGAAAAAATTTACGTCTCGGAGAAATACATTTATATTTGACCGTGACATTAAAAAAAAAAGCCTTGCCTCAATATTCCAAAAGAGGAATCTCATTTTGTTCATATATTAAGCTCCTGGTATTGGTAACTAAAAAAAAACCTTTTTTTATTATTATTATTTTGACAAGATATCACAAATAATTTTTATGCAAACAAAATAATGAAAATCTGGTCCAATTACTAACATAGGCAAGTGCAGAAAATGGCGTCTTTACAGTTCTTTAATCTGTAAATTTTAATTTATAATTAATAAATATATAAATATATAAGTTATTAATTAATTACAATTACAGTATTGTAAATATTATTAAAATTATTATCAACTGTTAAAAATTAATCTTCGATCAATCTTTTTTTTAATAATTCTTAGAAGCGGAAAGAAATTAAAAATCGTTGAATCACGTTATGAACATGTAAATATATTTTCAAAGAAGCTTTTATCCGCCACGTTTATGACATAAAACCGGTTATATGCGCAGAGAAATCTATAAAAACAAATCAAAAAGGTCAGAAGTAACAAGTTTATAAACAGGATTGCATTTATCTCTGCATCAACAGTTACATCAATAGTTACATCAAATAGTTACATAGACAGGTTAAATGTCACCAAA